TAGCAGACTAGGAGTGGGGCGCCCCCTGAGGTCACCGTCATGGTCCCTTCCCATCAGAGCGCAGCCACGCTCCCGGCTGCTCTTGGTCCCAGAGGAGATGCTGCCTGCTGTACGCATCAGGATTTTAGCCCCCCACGCAGGGCGGGTGGGGCTCTGGGACCCAAGTGAGCCCAACTCCTGGTGCGCCCCCTTCCCCGAGGACTCTCCCCGGCTCCTCAGCCCTCCTGCGGCCTCCACGCCGGCTACAGGGGGCGCTGCTCCCCTCCGACGCCCAGCCCTCCCCTCCTCCAAGCGCACAGGTTGAATAGCCAGTCAACAAATGCTCCTTCCTGCAGGCTGTTTCCAGCTCGGGGCTGAGGTGGAGGTGGACAGCCAGACTCTCTGTCTTCAAGGAACACGCCGGCCAGAGGTCCAAATATGGGGGGAAGGAAACGGGGATAAAGGACAGTGGTCCATGCCAAGAGAGCTACCCAAGGAGGATTTTCCAGCAGTCTGGATGCCTAGGTCACAGCCTGGGTATCCCACCCCTCCGCTACCGTCTCTCGAGCCTGTTCCTAGGTGACCACCTCCTCCACATGCCAAGACCAAGGGTTCTTCGTCTATAAACCGCCTCTGTTCCAGTCGGAAGGGCCCCTTCCCAGTGCCACTGATAACCTCTATGATTAGAAATCCCCACACTTGGGGTGGTGATGTGTTATCCTGCCCTTCAACACCCCACAATTGCTGGCTTGTCCTCTCCCCAAGACTCCTCTCCCAAGTTTCCCCGACTGGACCAAGTCACTGCCAGAGGAGTTACTGGGGGAGGGAGAAGTTTTGATACTTTCCAGGGGTACCATACCTCCGCCCCATCCCCTGGCATTGCCTGGCAGCCCTGGTCCAGTTCACCTGCCCCACCATTGTCTAATGGCTTTCCAAGATCTCCCGTAGAAGCAGCAGGCCTGAAAGTGTGGCCCAGCATCTCTCATGCTTGGCGTGCTCCAGACTGCATACTCAGAATGCTCCCACCCCAACCTGAGCCCAGGCAGGTAGGCTAACTGGGAGGCAAGATACAAGCCAGGCCTGGCTACACACAGAGACCCCCACCAAATAATGGATTTGGAGCATGTTAAAGTCTTCCTGGTGTTTGTATCCTTCAAGAGACATTTCCCTTTGCAGACTCAGTCTCATCTTCCTTCTGGCCTGGAGACAGGGAGGCCAAAGAGGACAGAAGAGCCTTAACTTCCAACTTGCCTATGTTTGCCATCTCTCTGAGGCACCCAGCCAAGCTGTGAACTAGACAGCCACAGCCCTGGCCTGCCAGCCGGGACCTGGGGTAAAGGTGGATAATGGCTTAGACATATATATTGTAGACCAGTAAACTGTAAGAGTCTAAAACTAGGTGCCTGCACACACCCCGCTGAGATTCAGAGGGCGGGGCTTCAAGGTGAGGAGAAGAAACGATATACTAAGGTTCTGGGGCTTGTGAGGACAGAAGACCCAAACCAAGGTGGGCGGTGACACTGCCGTCTTCCAGCAGCTTGTGGGAGGACAGTAAGCTGAAAACGGGCTTCCATGTGGCTGCCTGACTCAGCCCACTCCCACCCCACCCCATCCCCCTTCTCAGAGCTGCAGATGCAGTGGCCCAGGGAAGGGTGTTTTGTCGGGCCAGGACACACAACACACCTTGTAGGTACACAGGCGCCAAAGGGGTCTGTCCGACAGTATGCCTTGAAAATCGGGGAAATGTGGACCTACCCCTCCTGTCTATCCGGGCCCTTTGTGAGTGAGACCTGGGTCCCCTCGGGGTGAATATTAGGGCAGTGTATTCAATACCTGAGTGATCCGTGCCATGACCAAGTGTCATCACCACGGTGGTGATGACCTCCTCCTCCTCCTCCTGTCTTCTGGGGGACACAGCCTTACCTGGTGGTGACCAGGAGATGCTGAGGCGTGAAAGGTGGTTACTTGCACTGAGAGGGACCCTCCCCTGGAAACCCCCTCCCTACATCGATTTGTTCAGCCCTCAGGCAGAATTGCCAGGAGCAGATGGACTTGCATGTGGAGAACTGTTATCTCAGCCACCCTTCAAACCTTATGCTTGCCTTCATGCTGCTTCCAGTCTAAAACTTGGGGGCTCCCAAACCCTGACCTGAACTTTTGGGGTTCAGCTGTGCTGCCTGTTCAGGAAGGCCTTCATCGCCCCCTGGACATGGTACCCTTTGGTCTCCTGCCTGATGGCTTTCTCCAAGATCCCTAGCACTAGGGGTCCAGGCATGTTCTGAATGGGTACTTAGCCTGAGGTGGACAGGCACAGAGGGGCCTCAGAACCAGGCTGAAGGATGAGGCAGCCCAGGATTTGGATAGAGCTGGCTGGGCTCAGGAGTGAGCTATGCTTCCGCTCATGTCCTGGGATGCTAAATATAGCGGCCAGGGAGGGGAGTTTCCGGTTACAGCCCCCCCACCCCAAGCCGGGAAATCGATGCCAGCTCCATTAGGCCCAGCAATGGTGCCTGCTGACCTGCCTGCCAGGCTGCAGATTAGAGAGAGGGACTGGACTTTACCCAAGCCCAGGTGCCCTGACTCCTAACCCATCCTTCAGGCGGCCAGAGCCCTCCCCCACTCTGCCTGTCAGACAGCGAACACCCAAGGGCAATCCTGAGGGTCACAGGATTCCAATGGTGGGCATCAGGCAGCTGCAGAATGGCAGGGCAGGGCAGAGATGGCAGTGGCAGTATATACTCCTGTCCTGGGACCATGAGGGTGAAGCTGGATCAATATGCACCCCAGGATTCAGCTCCTGGACACACACCTAAGGACCCCCCCCCCAAAACAAAAAGCTGTGCTAACTTGTCTGACCGGGCCCCACCTAAATTGCTACAAACATTTGCATACAGGTGGTGCTATTTGAGAAGTCCACATGTCACAGCCTCCTCAGGGTGGTGCCTCAATGTCACACCCATCTGGGACAGGGGGAGGGCGTGAAGCCAGTGCCCCCCTCCCCATCCTCCAGGGCAGGGCAGGGGCTGTAAGAGGACAGAAGGCCCCCTAACCACCTCACCTTCCCTGTCTCAATTACGATTTCAAGGCTTCGGCTCCTGGTCTTGTACAAGGGGATGCTGGGACACAGAGAGCCAGGACATGCTCACAAAGAGTGGAGCTCACCTGAGCTCCACTGTACTGAGTTACGGGGGAAGGGGACATCCCACCAGGACACCTCATCAGTGGGCCATGACCTTGGCTGACCACCATCCCCCTGCCCCCTGACATGCAGGATGTCATGTCAGATGCTGACTGGAGGGTTTGAAGCTCTGGGGGACGGGCACAGCTGGGCTTCCACCCTGGAGTCCGACCTGACCACAAGACATACCAACTTACTGACACCTTTCCCTGAGGGGCCCTAAGCGTGTACCTGCAGCCCAGGCAGCTGGCTAGGTGGGACAGCATGCCCTTTTGTCCATGCTAGGCACTCTGGGGACCTGGAGGATGGCTCTGAGCTATGTGCATACCTCTTATGTAGCCCCAGCCTCAGGTCAGAGAGCAAGGCCAGCAGCACTGTGAGCTGTCACACTCCTGAGGCAGTTCAGTACAAGGACCAGGTTGCCCCCACCAAAAACGACTGCCCTAGATGCTCATCATAGCCTAGTCTTCAGACATTGCTTGTGTCCTGCAGGCCAAGGGAGACGACCGCCACTGTGGCCCATGAGTCATGGAGAGGGCACTGGAGAAGCCAGATACGAAGTATCCCTGGCACTTGAGTTCCTGGGTGGTAGCAGTGTGGTTCTAGCCCAACCCCAGGCATGGCAGGGACCCTGCATCTGCCCAGATCAGGGAGTACACACTGTCTGGAATTGGCAGTATGCTCAGTGTCTACTCCTGCATATACAGCTCATGCTGTGCGCAGTGTTCCAAGACTGAACATTTAACCTGGGCCCCTCCTGAGCTGTCTACTCCACCTGACAGCATCCCAGACAGCCATCTGCCTCCCGTGCATCCACTTACAGAGTCTGAGGAGGAACAGAAGGGTTTGTATGGAGACCTTGCTACCCCTGAAGACACTGTTCCTCACCCCAGGTCACAGTGCTCAAAGCCAGTGGCCAACACTGAAAACTATAAAACCTTTATTGAGTGTGCGGGTCAGGAGGCTGAGTGGATGGGACAGGGCTGTGTAGCCCCAGGGTCTCACTGGAGATTTAGGTGGGGAGCCACCTGGCTAAAGAACCAAGAGATAGCAAAGATGACACCGAGAGTCTTGGGGATATTCGGATTATCCGCAAAGGCCTGGGCATCATCCAAGTTCAGATGTATGACCTCTATGAGCTCTCCCTCCTCAGCCAGGCCTCCACCAGGCCCACCTCGCTGGGCATCTGTCACCTCCGCGTAGAACATGGTCTGCTTGGAGCCAGTCAGTCCTACTCCAGACCTGTCGAGTAGAACAGGAAATGCTGACGCACCACGGTGACCCTACAGTCACCCTGCTTCCATGCTTCTTTCTCTGGCTTTCTGATGGGCAGAGCTCTGAGTGGCTTCACCCTTCCCAAATACCATGCCTGATGGGTACATCCATGTGATGTCTGCCCCTAGAGTGGAGGAACCTGATGAATGTTGGGCATGCCTTCTGTCTCTGGCCTGCCATGTGGCAGAGGTGGGGGGGTCTGACGCCAATTAGGTAAGGGACATAGAGAGCACTAAAGTGATCTTTTTTTTCCTTTTTTTTGGTTTTTCCAGACAGGGTTTCTCTCTGAAACAGTCCTGGCTGTCCTGGAACTCGCTCTGTAGACCAGGCCGGCCTCAAACTCACGGAGATCTGCCTGTCTCTGCCTCCCAAGTGCTGGGATTAAAGTGTGCCACCATTGCCCGGCTCGCTGAAGTGATTTTTAAGGTGAATTTAATGATTGGGCTAGAGAGATGGCTCAGCCACCAAAGGCTAGGCCCGCCAGCAAACTGTCAAGATGAATGACAACTGACATTTAGGGAAAAACACAACTATCAGAGGCCTCTACGTATACCATGGACCCAGGACCCTACTCGGCTACCTGACTGAATCCCTCCCAAGGGAGAGAGATACCTGGGTAGGCCTGGCCTAATCAGATGAATTCACAAGACAGATACAAGCTCAAAATCTGAGAAGTCCGATACTCCCTGCTAACAGAGCAAGCTGCTGCACTGTAAGGAGACACATGGCAGGGACCTGCAGGCATCACTGGAGTCTAAGAACGGTTCCTGGTCAACAGCTAGTCAGGAAATGGCCTCTAACCAATAGCCACGAGGAGCTGGTCTGCTGCCTTTGCACCTGGACCGATTACAGATGTGGCTGGCAGCCATGAATGTGGCCTTTGAGACCCTGAGTGGAAGACTGAGGACCCTGGATGTGGACTGGGTATGCAGAAGCCACGAGGCCATAAGCAAATAGTACCAGAATAGATACTGTGATAGGCCCTTAGAACCTCCTCAGGCCCCTGCCCATTGCTCCTCCTGGGCACCCAACGAGGGCTTCTGCTAAGACCCAAGCCAGCCTGGCCCACATCGGGGGAGCCATGGTGTGGTAGTGGGAATCACAGGGTCTTTATATAAAGGACAGATTCCAGAGTTGGGGGATCTCGCAGCAGGACACATCATGGAGGCAGCAGAACTGGGAAATACTCTCAGCCTCCCAAACCCCAAAAGGAGGACCCCACCTCCATCCAAGACAGACATGCCCAGCTACTTCTTTACCCCCACCTGATGGCCCATCTTCCTGGCAGTCATGCCCTGCACCTGTGACTGGAATCACCCAGTCTGTGCAGCCTCCAGCCTCCGGTTCCCTAGCTTATAAGGGAGACAGCTTCCAGCCTGTGGACTGGTCATGCTAGAGGCTGCCTCCAGCCTCTGCAGGCTCTAATCTCATTCACACAGCAAGGCAACAAGAGGGAAGCCCCTTCCTTGGCTACCTTCCCTGGGCCTAGTCATGTATGACTATCAAGGGAGTGCACTGGCTTATGTCTGGTCTTGGACAGGGAGCCATTAAGTGGGTAAGGCTCTGGTCTGTTCAGTCCCAGGAAGGCCCAGAGGGACAGGTGCTCTGACCTTCACTTAGCCGTACCCTCAGTCAAGCTTCCTCACGGCCACACCCTCCCCTTCAGAGTATGAGTCTGAGTAGGGTGACCACTGTCCAGACTCTCACTGGCTCCCCCATACCTTCAGTCAGGACACAGCCCAGAGACCTTGCATGTGAAATCTCTCGGAGACAAGGTTCCCGTCTTCAACCACCAGCCAGGACCCCTCACCCACCAGGCTAACTTCCTTCCTGCCTTCCATCCCTGTCTGCTCCACACACTGGCCAAACTCCTACGAAGGTCAGGCTCCTTAGATTCCCCTAAAGGCTGCCACGTTGGAAACTGACGGATCTAGGCATCACTGGCTGTCCACACGGAGGGCGCAGAAAAGGGCACAGAGCAGCCCTTCGGAGGCAAATGGTCAACACTGGATCCAACATGCTCCCACCACAGCTAGGCGCTACAGGGTGACGTCCCATGAGACGGAGGCAGGAGGCTGTGTGGAGCGTGCCAGCAGAGAGGTGGCAGGGACTCTGGTCCTTCGTGGTTCAAGGTGGGCTCAACCTCATGGGGTGGCAGGCACCCTAAGACCCTCTTTCTACCCTAAGACCTCAGGGGTCAAGGGTCACACACCACCCTGAGGCAAGGGGTGGCTTCCCATTTGAGGAAGGTAGCCCTGCCTGAGGGAGGCATGTGTGGCTGGCACCTGGACTTCAGTAGGGGTAGTCCCTCCGCCTTCCCCTCCCCAGGACTTGCCCTTCCCTCTCATTCCTGAGCCACCACCGGCTGAGAACAGAGCTGTGACTCACCCCACCCCCAGCGCCCGCCCGGTGCTTAATCCCACAGGAAGTAGAGCATCTGTCGGCAGCAGCTGCCACCCAGAGCCCAACCCCACATGGCTGGGACTGCAGGGCAGGGGCACAGGGTTGAGCATACTCCAGAACCAGCCCCAAAGCACCAGGTCTCGCGCAGCCTAGTTGCTGAGGCACGGTCCGTCAACCTTCTCCCAGTCCTGTGCTGTTCACCTTCAAGGACAGGGTTCTCACCCACTCCCTGACAGCCCGTCTTATCCCGCAGACCACACCTGGTAGCAGCCCGCCCTGCCAAGCCTCCTTACATGTATGTGGCAACCTGGCGCAGATCAGCGGGGTCCAGGTGATAGCCACACTCTTCCCAAGCCTCCTTGCAGGCCACTTCTTCCAGTGAGAGCCCAGGCTGGTCCACGATGCCCGCACAGAGTTCCACCATCACTCCCACGGAGCCGGGCAGTGCTGGCTTAAGCTCTTGGGGCTGGTCCCGGTCCACAGCTGCCAGTGACCCTGGGAAGAGGCGTTCCATCTCGCCTGCATATACAGCTGGTTGGGGGGGGGGGGAGCATGGCCACATGACGGTCACCTCAGAGTAATCTACTCTGGGCCAGGCACATCTTTCTGGACCTTAGTCTCCCCCAAAGCCACCAATGCATGAGCACTGAGAAGCTCAGGACCAAGGGCCTGAAAGCACCCTGCTATTCCCCCTTCCCAACCCCTGCCCACCCAGCTGGTCTCACCTGGCCGGAACTGCTTCACTAACACCAGGCTTCTTCGAGAAGAGTTGAACATGAGAACAGTCACACTGCATGGGGGAATGGAACTCAGTAAAAGGGCAGGCTCCCCTCTCCCCAGAGCCCCAGTTCCCCTTCCTCTCTTTCCCTGACAGCCCAGGAAAGGTGGAACCCTGCTCAGATGCGACACACAGTCAGTCCATTGCTCAGACAGGAAGGCCACACAGTCAGGCCAATTCACAGACTAGGGGAAGGGGGAGACAGCTGGGGCAGGGGCAGGGGAAGGGGCAGCTGGGAAAAGTAGAGGCCCCTGCTGGCCAGTCTCCCAACGGTCACACCCCTCAAAACCACACTTCCCATGCTCTGGATCCTCAGGAGTAAGATCAACAGATCTCTTCAGCCCTAGGAGGGGCAGCCTGCCACCAGGCCTCAGGGACATGAGAACCAGAGACTAGGTTGAGGTGGAAAGTATCTGAAAACACCAAGGAGAGCAGAAATGGGGGTTTCCCTAGTGGCCGGGCCAGCCCCTCTCACCTGTCATGTGTCTTCATGAAGTCCCAGGACTTCTGGACACCATCCTGAAACAGTCAGGGTAGCAATCAGGAAGGGTGAGCAGCTGCCAGGACACATGGAGCTACATGGCCCAGACAGACTGACTGTAGCAGCTCCCAGCAGGCAGGCCTGCTGCTGGCCTGTACCCATCAGGAATGGGAACTCGCAGGCAGCAGGTGGGGGTGGACGAGGTTTCCCCAGAGGTCAGGACAGCCTAGTGTTCTGGGAAGGGTAAGGTAGAAAATCTGGGCAAAGGGCAGGAAAGGCATTTCAGGAGCAAAAAGTTCTACAGAGACCTATGCTGCCACCAAGCGTGGGGAGGAACTAGGAGGGTACAGGAAGGGCAGGTGTGACACCCTTAGGCAGGGCAGGGAGGATCCCAGGTGGGCAGAGTGGAAGTCAGGTGCTCACTGCCAAAGCTCCCTTGGGCCACCGGGCAGTTTACACTGCAGCTGTAGGTTTGGTGATATCAGATAGACGGTGAATACTTGCCCTGCCCTGCTTCAAGCTTAGGCTCTCTCCCATAGTCCTGCTGATCCTGTTTGTGGAACACGCAGCACTCCCTAGATCCACGCATCACTCGGGAATAGATAAGGCGGTCCCTGCAGCATAGGGCAGCCGGAACGGATGTCAACGGTGCTCAGTATGCAAGGTTAGGAAGGGCCCACCATTCATTCCGCCATCAAGATGCCACTTGGTAAGACAGGCTATCCACCCCTAACCCTTCCTGCTTAGTCCACTTTTGGGTCATTCAATGAGCCCTGGCGAGCCCCACCACGGGTGCTGGAGCTCCATCCAAGCTGCAAAATAGACAGGGGCCTGGGCCCCACAGCAGTGTGTGCCAGGGACACACAGAGGGAGGACATTGAGGAGCAGCCACATAGGGCTTCCTTGTGTTGGCCTACAGGTGGAAAAGGGCCCTGCTCTCGATGGCAGGAGAGCCTCACAGGTGAAGGTCTCAGAACAGAAAGATTGACCTGAGCCTGCAGGCAGAGATACCCTAGGAGGGTGGCAGCAACCTGGTTTCCAGGGGGAGAAGAGAGTCAATGTCCTGGGCAGGTCAGGCTGCCCAGGAGGCCGTTGAAGCGCCACCCCCCGAGGCGAGCCCAGGCCTGCCTGACATCCAGCCACCCAGGCAGGCTCCAAAGAAGGCTACCCGCCCAGACTGCAGTGAGCCTGCCTTGCCTACCCCCGCAGCTTCCCTTTGAGTAACTATCACCCTATGTGACTCCAAAGGACCCTCCCGACTCAAGGTCAAACATTTCTTTAGAGCCAGAGAAGCTGATGTTGGCTCTGGGAAGGGAGAGGCAGGCCTAGAATGTACCGGTGGACATATGTATGCTACACAGGGCCACTGGGCCCCTGCTTCTGGTCTGACTGTCTACCAGACCTCTTTTGGCCAGGAGTGGCAGTCAGTTAAAGGCTGGCATTCCCTACCCAGTTCACAGCCCAGCCTCAGTATCCCCTCGGATCCTGAGGAAATGCTGCCAGGCCCCGCAGCCATAAAGTACGGCTGCTGCCTGATCAGCGGGGCTCTGGTTACCAACACCATCAGCGGAAATGCTCTGGTGTGCTGCCAGCCAAGCTGCAAAACCACCCCACAGCACTTCCCAGGAAGTGAGGGAAGACTGTTGTCACGGTGGTTAGCAAAACTAGTCTGGACCACCCTGCTCCCACCAACTGCCCACCAGAGAGCCCCAGGTCCTGGATAGGAAGAGCCACAAGGCCCATCCCAGGTCACCAGCCAGTGAAAGGGAAAAGGAAAGTGGCCCCCCCCCCCCGTGTCCCTCAACTGAGCCCAACTGCTCCCCCAATCCTGTACTGCCCTTGGCTGCACCCTGGGAGAGGAGTTCTGTGTCCTGGTGTGTGGGTATAGGGGGGGAGGGGGGACACCTGTGCACAGCAAACCCATGAGGGACAAGGGGACTTCCAGGTTGGAGGCCACGACACCGATGAGAGGGATGGGTGTAACAGGGAGGGTGGGGGTGCTGGGTGGTTTGACCTGGGTTGAAAC